TTGATGAAGGGTTTTTTTTTTACTTTTGGTCCTAAGCTAACGCTATCTTTTCCACATTGGGTCAAGGACCGGCGGATCCGGCAGGGTTCCCTGTAACTTTTCCTACAGCCTAACTCGTTCCAACCTCGTGAATCGCTACCAAAAGTGCAGCTGATTGAACAAGAACGAAAAATCACAAAAATCAAATCAACTCCGAAAAAGCCAGAAGATTCCTTCACATTGGACCCAAGCAATGTACTTCTCACAAATTCCGTCGTCTGTCACACCTTCCAAATGACAAATTTGCCCATTCTCCGCTGAGAGCAAGAGATGAGTTAGCAGGCACCTTTGATCCAGCCGGTATCTTGCTATTGGTTAGTAGATGCCCCAAAAGGGGACATCGTCGAGGTTGCTGTGTCCTCAAGCTTCTTCTTCAGATCCCAGAGCTCCGAAACCTGTTGCCTCGGCCATCGAGACATCCTTCGCCGCGGCGATGATCGCCTCTTAGGCCTTTTTTGCTGCAGCCCTAGCTCGTGCCACCTTCGCGAACTCCCCTTGTGTGATGTGGCGAATCCACGCGAGCTGCTCTTTGGTCACCGGTCCGGATTCTTTTGGTCTGACTTGGCAGGCCCGAGAATCCGATCGATGAGGTCCCCCACGGTTGCGACAGCGTGTGAGGGCCTTGCACTCTGTTTCGGAGTGCATATTTGATCCGCAGTTCCAGCAAGCCGGAGCGCGGGAGCAACCTCGAGTGGCGTGGAAGCCCAAACAGCGTTTGCACTGTTCAATTGATCGACGAGGCTTATGGATGGTAGCCATACCCGAATCGTCGAAAAGGCGGAAGCCCGCACGAGGGGCTTCGTCCCGGGGAAAAAGGGCATGCCAGTTTCGATAAGGCGATCCAGGCCGACATGTCCCATGAGGTCGGACCTGGATTGGATACGCGCTGGTCGTAAGGAAGATCTCAGCGGTGACACTTGCAGCATCGGTCGCCACGGGGCCGTACTGTGAAACGATACTTACAGGTACGTTCGGTATCTGTAAGGCGACAAGATCCGACGATGCTTCGAGTTTGGCGTTTTCACTTGCCAGCTTCGGAGAGACATCTAGGATCTCTTGTCGTGTTTTTTCGTTCTTTGCTATAATAGCAAAGCCGGTCTTAACTCGATGAATCGAGGTAATATCATTGTAAGAGAGATTAAGCGTGTCCGCTACCTTACTTTTCACAATGTTGTTTGAGAGATTACGCCATGGGTGCTCCCTTTCCAGGCGAAGGAACAGTCGCTTATCGACTTTCGCCTTGGGAGCTTCTTTCTTTTGGGCTCTCGCCGCAGGTTGCGGCACAGCCATTGCTATAGGAGCTGCATTTTGTCGCAGTCCATTTTTGGCCACCGTGGCCCAGGTGCTTTTTACAGGCAGCACTGGGACGGCGGGAGTTGTATTGCTCCTGGCTTCTGGAGCCCTTGGGGTCGGGTTCGCAGGGCGAGGAGGGAGGACGGGTGGCGTGATGGCCGGGCCCGTGGCCATGTCTTGCGCAATGGCGGCGCGTAAGTAGACTCTCATCGAGTCTACGAATAGTCTGTTTGACCCGTTGGTTAAAGGGAGGAGGGTGACTTCGACGCCAGAGATGGCGGCGGAGCAGAGGGCCAGATTTGCCGCTGTTTCGGCCACGCGTCGTTGTTCAGCTTCGACAATTGGTCGAAGCTCAAGGGGACACTCTGCTTTCGTGGCAGCTTTGGGATGCGACGTTGATGTTGACGCTGCTATGGGTGCAGCGTTTTCCGACGGTTTTGACGCTGTCGGAGGAGATTTTGACGATTCTCCAGTCCCGTGAGGGACGGAGGATGGTTGGGGAAATTCCTCAACAATTTCAACTGACCCGACCATATCAGTATCGGGCTCAGCGACGGCGGGGATGGCTTTTGCTTTCCCTATCATTGAGACCTTGCTCATTTACGCACATTTCGGAGACTGAACAAGGCTAGGTAATTGATCGAGAGCCCTCGTGCGGACTCTCGTGTTGTCCAACGTGGCGTTGGGACGCTTTTTACGAACAGGTTGCATGGTTAAGATGCCAGCGACCCGATGACAATTTATCGTAGGAATGCGACGAGCGCGAGAGGAATGGAAAGAAGGAAAAGGTGAAGATTCGAATTTTCGAAATTCAAAAACCTGTGCGTTTGTTTCTTTGCTATTCGTATCAGGAATACGCCCTACACCCAATAGGCATGATGCGGGTATGTGATCTACACAGACTCACTATTACCTACGTGCATGGCTTTGCTCGCCAAAGAAACCATTAGAGATAAATATGAGAAAGCAATGCAGTGTGTCCAAACAAAGGCGGCCCGCGCCCTTCCCTATTCTTCCTAGCCATTGACTACTAAAACAACCACTGATACTCCTAGGGGAGCTTACGACTCTCCATCTACGGCCTTTTCCCTCTAACATTTCGTTACTGTTGCGAATTCGATAAATTTTTTCCAAGATTTTCCCCTCAGCATCTAAATTGCCCTCGGCGCGGCCTCCCGTTTCATGCCTCTCCACCGTAGTAGGGCTGGTCAGCATTCTACAATGTGCCAAGGGCGTCTTTCTCGACCGCACTTGCATCTGGCTTCGAAATTTTCATGCTTGAATCTTTCATGGTATTTGGCAAAATCGCCGTGTCGAGCCTTAGCTGCAATCAGCCTGTGGTAGGCCCATCATGGTAGAGCAAATTCTGGGGGTCGCTTCCGAGTCATCATAAGATCTAAGTCCGTATAGTGCTTGGGCGCATTTTCCTGCTACCATGCTACTATTAGTTCATCCGCGCGCTCTCTGACAAATCTGTTCGGTGATGCAAACGTAAATTTTATTCTGCAGGGCACCTCCATGGGGGTAGTATCATTAGTCACCTCATTTGCGACTTTCATTAGGGCGGCTTAGGCAAGCTTATCTGCAATCTCTTTTCCCTCGATTCCTGAGTGCCCTAGTATCCACCCAATCTCCACTGACTGATCAAGCATGAGTGTTGATTATTATTAATTCATTTTATTTTTCTGTCTGAGTCTACGAACATGTAGGACATGCAGGTCCTCTCTGCCGACAGGCCAAGGATACCTATGCCAGTAGTATATTCCCTACTTTGCCTCCCATACAGCTCCCCTCGAACAGTACCACCCCTCACAAGTCCTCTTTCGGTCATACATATAGACAAGCCCTTGGCCCTTCATTACTCCCCTCTCCAGCCAAAGATACGATGGCCTTTTTTTTTAATTCATGTTGTATTCAGCTATTTAGCTGTGACAATGACGATGGCCATTTGCGGGTGTATGGCAGCCGGGAAAAATGCCCAAAAACCACTGCGTGCGGGGCTCCTCTAATACCGACAGTGCTTCATAGTCATAGACTCAGTAGGGACTTAAATTTAATTATATTCTATTCTAATACCGACATAAGGACTAGATCCGAATACATAGTGGTCCTTCTGAAGCGTTCGAAGCGTTCGTAGAGGTCGGCCAGCTGGGCGCTGCCGACCTGTGGGTATCTCGGGAAATTCACTCTCTGCCTTTCTAACCTCTTTCCAACTCCTACTCGAAGGTCGAGCTGAAATGTCAGAAAAGTCTTGACAGAGCGTGATTGCTGTATGGTAGCTTAGTCCAACTTTTTTCGTGCCGTCCAGGGCGCTGGGGAGTGCTGTTGACTCATCGACAAAGGGAGCCCTGCTGGCTAATTAGCCGAAATCCCAGTCTTGGCGTCCACAAACATACTAAATTTATAAACCTCTTGAAAATGTCGGTCACAGCATGCTCTTCATAGACCTGTTTCCCCTCAAGTTGTTTGTCTCATTAGAGCAACAGTCTCCCATAGGCCAAGACCCAGGCTTTGTATTTTTCGACTTAATCTCCTCCTTGCGTGTGTAGATAGCATCGTAAATATTAAGTGAGAGATGGCTGGAAATTAATGAGGCAAGCTCCTGTTTGTAATTGGAGCAACATCTTTATTGGTCGTTGAGGACTCCGATAAGAATGATAACAGAGGCATTATCGAGAAGTCGTCAAATGGAGATATGCTTGAGGTTACTTTTGACTTCGATTCGGATGCGATTCTTCTTGGCTATCCCAGATATGCAGAGCATACTGAGCGATTACACCAGCACCACTGGAAGGTGAAGAATTCTTCTTTGCCGGCAGAGGAGTGTTGATTTGGGGTGAAGAAAAAGCCACCATAACTTCGCAATAATAACTGCCCAATGAAATAAGAGGCATGAGTGCTCTCCCTTTATATTGAGTCATCCTTTATATAATTTTCTTTGACATTGTATCATAGCTAGATAGCTGCACACACAATTAAAATATGATGTCAAAAAAGACAGATAGATATGGCCTCGCCTCAACTTGGCCCTAGTTACGATAGCGTGAGTACATGTAGTCCCTGCCCGCTTCTGGAAACTCTCTTCTCGTAGCCAGCCTACTTCATCCATCTCTACATTAGAGCTGCCCTCCTGCCACATAATTCTCGAGATTAAAGGGAATAGATGTCAAACATTTGAAATGCTACTGAAAACAAAGCTGGTTTCAGAATAGTGAAACTCTTTCCAGCATTTAGGTCTAGTCAGTCTAAAATCATAATGCCAAATTTTCCCAATTTTTTAGTCCTTAAAAGAGGATGTCTCCGGTAGTTTACATTGAATTAAAGATTACCTCCTTAACCCTAATAGGTGTTGGATTTTAGTGTTACTTGGTCAGGCTTAATTGCCATATGCCAATCCATAGAAAATTGAACCCGACACATCATCTTAAAAATACAATAAGATAGTGTTCATATCTATTAGTATTTAGACTGCAGATATTAAGCATCAGTTTGACTTTTCCCTTCGACCCCGTAGACGCGCCATATTTTAAATGAAGCAACAAAAAAGTCCATAAATATGTCTTACAATACATTTGTCGCTTCCGAGCAACATTGGGCCTCCAGTAGCAGAGCTTTTCGGACGCTGTTTTTGATAGAGACTACACAAATGAGATTTTGATAGACGAAAACTATCCCATAACCATTCCCTGCATGCCTGACATATCGCCCTCCTTGGCTGCTATATCGAAATAACCGTAAATTATTCTGGAGAAGTTAGTAATGAAGGCTATTTTGAAGAGGGTTTGCATACGTGACTGCCAATAAGATTCCTGTCCCAGACCCAAGTGCGCCTAGGAGATCACTCGCAACAGATAGACCACCAATACAAGCACCACCAAATGCAGCGGCAATGGGTATTGTTCTCTTCAGTTCCTTGTAGACGCTCTGTTCTCTATGTCCTGCAATAACAAGTCCCTGGTCTTTGAGCTGTTTTGCTACATCGCGCGGGCTCGAGCCAGAGATTTCGATCCACGTCTTGGAGAATATTGCACATGCTATAAGCATGTATGCAATGTATACTGCGGTATGAATGGGATCTAGGAGGGCTTCCATAAAGTTCATTGGGGGTGACATGTAGTAGGCGAGACCAGAAACAGCGAAAAGCTGAGATGAGCCTTCCTTGGCTTCCCATACTCCAACAAGCTGGACTAGGAGATTGTCCGAGAACCGCGAATATAACATCTGGCTTACTAAGAACACGTTTGAAGATAGAGCCGACTGTAACATGATAGGCATATTGGATGTGTAAAAGAGTCGAACAGGGTATGAGCCACGAGCTCCGCGTTGACGGGATGATTTGAGAGGAATTTCTACGCGGAAGCCCTGAAGATATATAACGACACCAAACACTACAAGAGTAGCAATGAGATTTAATATGTTAGGAAGGTTTTGCCTGTAAAAAGCTTCCTGTAGGGCACGCTGTTTGTTAGGCCAGGTGAGAAGCAGATGAAATAGTGCGATAACGGCGCCCTCAAACTCTGGGCCGCGTCCTGTATTGAAAGTTGTTGGAGAAAAGGCTTTCCAAATGATAGACTCGCAGATATTAGTTGCGATAAACAGAGAGATGCCACTTCCTAAGCCGTATCCCTTTTGTAATAGTTCATCAAGAAGAATGACGATTAATCCAGCAACGACCAATTGAAGAATTAGGAGGAAGACAACACCAGCTCCAAGGTCTGAAGGTTGGCCATACAGACCAGTCAGAACATACACAGTAGCTTGACCCATGGACAAAATGATGGCAAAAAGCTTCTGCGCTGTTTGGTACAGTTCACGGTCTGATTTAAGGTCGAGGTTAACGTCAATTAGATGTGTACCAGCTAGAAGCTGAAAGACCATTCCTGATGAGATGATAGGCGTGATTCCCAGCTCCATTAGAGTCCCTCTGTTGCTTGCCAACATCATCCTTAACCAGTAAAGGGGATCTGAGGTATCTGAGGACACAATACCATACAGCGGCATTTGACTCATGACAAGAAATATTAAAAGGGTTAAGCCTGTCCACATCAATTTTTGATTGAATGGTACTTTTGTTTCCGGCTGTTGCACCTCTGGAAGGATAGGTGAGAATGGCTTGATGAGGTCAAGAAACCGAACTGCTCGGAATATAGTTAGCCATTATGTTTAGATTTAGGAGAATATCTCATCTTCTTAGAGGGAAGTCTTACGGCCACTCATCTTGGCGGATTAATCTTGACTATTTCACTGATATAAAAGGAAGGAGAAGTGGTATTGATAAAAGTGTGGCGACGCCGAATTAAAGTCGTCGACTCTGCTTAAGAATGAGCAGAGGGACGGAGGCTAAGAGTACAGATGTGGTATAATTTGCAAAACATAAATTACCACATAGGTGGCCTCTTTAGCCAGGGGTGATCACGTGAGTTTACAATATTTGCTCTCATGTAGCAGGATCACGCTAGCTTGTGAGTGATGTAGCCAATACTTAGATTTAGTGTAATTGTTCGTTCTCAATCTTTGTTATTCACGAAATGTTGGTTCTCACAGTACACAGGACAAGAATGCCTATGCCTCAATTATTATGTTCATTACAGTGCCTCCTTCACAGCTCACTTTCACCAGTACAACTCTTCGCAAGTCTTACTCGATCAAAAAGTAGAGTTGCTATTTAATTTCATTATCCTCCCTCTCTATCATTCTATTAGACAGCTGAATGCTGGCGTAATTCAGCTGAGGAAATTTGCATAGAAATTAGGTGCGGGGCTCATCTAATACCAGAATTGGTACTAAAGACGAAGACTTAACCACCATTTTGAGCGTTCCGAGAAACCTGTCAGCCATGCGCTATAGAGTTACTTTTGCGCCAGGTTGTCACTCCTTACCTCCTAAGTCTCTGATCAAATCCCTCTATAATTCGCGCTTCGAGATTAGTAGGATAGTGTGTTCAAATACCAGAAAAGTATAAACAGAGAGTATGCGCTGTAGAATAGCTCAGCTGAGTTTCTTATCAGCCCACTCGGTAGTGTAATTTTTCATAAAATAATGGAAAATAGAAACCCTACAGGCTAATCTTGAGCCCAGTCTAGTCTCTGTAGATTCGATGCTAAGGGCTAAAGATTCGTAGAGCACACCTTCAACGCATGCAGTCTTTTGTTATTAGTTAGTAAGTATTGAAATATCTAGCCATGATACATGTTCAGAGCTTTTTCTAAATTATGGATGACTCTTTAAACGTTAGAGCCACTCTCGCTCTGGATTTGACTCGTAAGCATGACTATGAGGTATGTTTGCTTTCACAAACAGTAGGATCTCCTCCGTAGTGATTATCAAAGGGATGTTTATAAATCTCTGTTTAATTATTCATCCCATCATCATCCATATCACCAGCATCGCGAGAAATGTGGTTATTTTTTGTTTGAATCGAACCAGTGATCTCCTGTCTTAAGCGGTATAGGTGTCCAAGCTATCCAGTCTTTAATTGCTAGCACGACTTTAGATAATAATAAAAATGCAGTCTTTAATTGGGAAACTAAGTGAAATAATACTCTACTGCACCACTAGCCCTTGTTCGTGTTTGAACTGTCGCCTGTACTCTCAAAGTTGAAGGCCTGGCGAACATGCTTTCTCATTTTTAAAATTACCTGCCGAAGACAAAGTCTTCTCGCTTTCGAGACCGTATGCATCGTTTGCATCATCTTGTCCCCTTGTCCTGATCTCTCACACGTCCACTCTAAATATCTGGCTTCCAGATTTATAAATCACGACTGTCCCCTCTGGTGGTTATTAATATTCTTGTGGGCATATATACGGGGGCCATTTGAGGCCAAAGACTGATATGACGAGAGGTGTGATCACTGGGAAGAAGATTCATTTGGCCCTACTTGCAGACTTGATCAGCCATTGATGGTAAAGAATTTTGTTGGGAGAGTACGATTGATTTACAGTGTCCTGAATTACTGCCTTGGGGGTAAACTTATTCGGTGTTCTAAAATTTGCCTGAAATTGGCTCTGGGAGTATATTTCGCTACAAGCTCCCAGAATACACCCCCGACGGGTTTCAGTCTCTACCCTTCCTTTGAGATGATATTGGGCCACTAGATTCCCTAATCCCATACTACTGTAAATTAAACTCTGCAGGATATTATATGAATATATATGATGAAGTAAAGAAGATTTAATGTTTTATAACTCTAGGAACAATGGACTTAGTTACATGTCTATGAGAGAATCCCCACTAATCTTACGTTCCTGTCAAACTTAGTAATGACCAGCAACCTCTCGTCTACCATGATGATCCAAAGTACTCTGCAGTCCGTAGATACAAAAACGTATATGCGACAGTAGAAGGGTAATACTGAACGCCTGCACGCGGTGACCTCTACCAACCTGGGAGTGAAATATTCTCCCGGAGCCAAGTTCAGTCAAACTTCGCAATCTCGAACAAGTTGGCCCACGAGGCTATGATTCAATATACTCCACCACGTCAAATCTTCACACCCAGAGAGATCAATCCTACCTAAGCATCATCAAGTCTACAAGTATGACCTAGTACATCCTTATCTCGATGACCTATCTCTCATCGACTTTCTCTGAACTCAGCTGATCAACAAATGCACGCCCAGGCCAATATTTCTACTCGACGGAAAAAGCAAAGCATGGAGCACAAATCCGTGACACAGTTCTTTTTGGTGGACGATAGAGGGATCAGGACAAGTTCATAATATGGCACCAAGGAAATTTTTATAATTATTTAACGTCGTGCTAGCTCACAACAAAACCTTAAGGTCTCGTGTTGGCCAGCTCAGTCTACATAAACTACCCGACGTGGTGGCACCAAGGAAAGATTTGAATTTGAATTTGAATTTGAAATCTTTAACGTGACAGGACGAACCCAACATCTATTTAGACGTGACACGGGTAGATGGGCCCTACGAGCTCATTGCTACCTACATGACCGGCATTAAAGCCAGAAGCGACAAAAGAAAAATAAAATCACAGCAAATGTCTGAGTTACGGTGCCCTGCACCGTATCCCTATCTTCCAAACACCTCTCCTCTCGAGCCAGAAACTATCTCAGCATGGTCACTCCCACCCTGTCAGTTCTTCGGCAGACTGTAGCATCTGCTTATGGTTAGGAATTGGAAAAACTTCTGCCATCCCTTCTCCCCTATCATTTCCCTGACCCCAGGTGGAGTCATTTTCTCACAGCTTCTCCAACGTTGCAGAGCAGGTCGGCACTCTGAAAAATGCCAGGGCCTTTTCTCTCGGCCACAAATGCACATCAGATCTTCATGTTCGGGGTTGAAACGCCGGTGGTAGCCGGCGTAGTCCCCGTGGCCTGTTCTTGCCGCAATAAGACGGTGATACGCCCATCGAGGCAGAGCCAGTTCCGGCGGTCGCTTGCAGCGCATGTAGAGGTCGAGATCTTTGTATCGTTTAGGCCGATACTTCTGCCACCACTCTTCCACAAGCTTTTGGCTCCGCATTTTCACTAGTCTCCCTAGAGCCGCAAAGGTCAGAATTTGCTCGTCTCCGTTGGGCGAAGCTGAGGTTAGTGATTGGTCATTGAGATCTCCCAGGGCTGATTTGGCCAGCTTATCGGCTTCTTCGTTGCCTTGGATCCCCACATGACCAGGTATCCAGTGTATTTCTACACGCCTATTATGTCTCAGCGATGAGAACTTGTCCACCACTGTCTGCGAGGAATTGGATCTTCCTTGTTCGAGCGCTCTGACGGCCGCTTGATTGTCCAGAAGAATGCTGACCGGAAAGCCTTCTCCCACCGCTAGTGCAGCCTCCAAGGCTTTCATAGCGCCAACAACTTCTGCGTCGAATACCTCTGCTCCGGGAAGCGGACCCGAGCCACTTCCAGCTAGTTTGCCTCCTTGGTATACCACATAACCCCAAGCTGATTGCCCGGGACCCGACGAGGATCCATCAGAGAAGGCACAGACTGCGTTGGCTGGAAGGGAAGTTAACCATCGTTTGATGCTACCAAGGAAAGATTTGATTTGATTTGATTAAATTTAACGTCGTGCCTGTCTACAGCTCGTGACCTTAGTCACGTGCTGGACGGCCCAGTCCCTACAGAACTACCCGACGCTCTAGCGCGCCCTACAGCACCTAGAAACTACAAAAGAGTCCGACCTGCTGTCCGCTACTCTGCTTTCCAATTTGAATGTAGCAAATTTCCCTCTACCCGGGATTTTACTTTTTATTTACAAGTAGTTTGAAATTACTCCCGCAGACTATTCACGCAGTACCAAAAATCTCAAGGGAAATATCTAATGTGCCCGTTGGACTTCGTCGTAGAACTTTGTCAGCTCCACCCATTTTCCGAAGGCGTGTGCCCCTTTAGGCGTGCTGAGGACCCATTTAATACCGGGGCTGGAGTGCCGAGGTCCACCACTAAGGCGAGCCCGGCTTCTTCCTATGCTGCAGTGAAAGAAGTGGTCCGTACTTTTTTCTTCGCCACAGGAGCAAGTCATTAAGGCATCTTCGTGTGTAAAACGCCGATGATACTGTGCGAAATCTCCGTGTCCGGAGCGAGCTGCAATCAACGCCCCAAGTGCACGCCGGCTTAGACCTTTCAGTTCTGGGGATATTCCTAGGCTAGGGCCAATCCCTAGTTCTTTATATCTAGTGGGGCCTTCCCGATCCCAGTAAGCAGTGGTGGAAGCGTTGTACAACAGAGAAATTTCTCTTTTTGCTCTCGCTATGGGTGGAGATAGGGGTAGCGCAGTCATTAGACAGGCCGACTTCGCTAGAGCATCTGCTGCTTCATTTCCAGGGATTCCAGAATGTCCGGGGCACCATCTAACACTGACTGCTCCTGCTTTAGTACAGGATGCTCGTGTCCTGTTTATCCAGCTAGCCGCCAGCTGCCGAAATTTTGCAATCCGGCGAGAGCTTGTTGCGGTCGGTGTTAATAAGAGGAGTCGAAGAGCCGCTTCTTGGTTATCTAGGCAGATGGTTAAGTTGGTTGCATAGAAGGCCATGGGATTGTGAAGGGCAGCTTCTAGCCCCTCTGTTGCTCCGGAAATTTCCGCGTCGTATACCTCTGCTGAGGCACCTAGAGGGATGGTTCCGCGGGCAATCTCATGGTTCATGCCGCGTCGAATTGAATATCCAGCTCCTGCTTGATTCTC